CGTCGAAACCAAAATTGCGAGCCATTGTATCGCCATGAATACGCGATGTATTACACTGGTACTGTCGCAAATGGCACGAAATGGATTTCGGGTTTCCGCGGCTGCCGATGCGGAAGATTTATAGGCGCTTTAAAAAGCTCAATGTTTTCGACGGCGTCGTTAGAGCCAGCGGTAAAAATCGATGCTTCGGCTAAATATCGGAGCTAAACCCGCACAAAACAGGCGCTAGAAACTGCGCATCTCCCCGTATGTTTCGGATGTGGACAAACGTGAGCGCGAGCATTTTCGACGAAATTTTATTTTTCCTTTTTTTAATCCATCCAACTCACGCAAAACCGATATTTGTGCGCCCGATGTGCAACGATCGCGCGAACATGTTAAAGTTTTTATAACTCTCGTATCCTATAAAAATAATCGAATGAAGCAACGGCGTTTTGGTGAACAATTCTTTTAATCGCACCTGACAGGTACTAAATTATTGCGCTCTTCGTGATAAAATGTATGAAAATGAAGTTACAAAAATTTAAAAAAATATACAAAGCGTGAACTCACTTCTTTCAATAGAAGAATTTTTTATAAACACATTTAATTAAATACGCGTGAAAACATCAGACAAATTTGTAAAAAAAAAAGGAAAAATTACTAAAGGAACTGATATAACATTAAATCCTTACTAATAATATATATTACGGTAGCAATTGATGCAATATTAGATAATAATATGAAAGAACTTTTTTATTATTTATAAATAAAAGCGTGCATTATATAAATGTTCCATTTTGCAATTTATTTCAGAATGATTCTCGCATCTGTGCAATTTCGCGTAACGTTTATTATACACTGCAACTTCAAAGATTGACTGATAAATTTTTAATAAAACGTAACATACAATTTCACGCGCTCGCGTACACAACACAGGCGTTAAATTAATTTTTATCCGTGTGAACGACCGAAACGTAATCAGTTTCGCAAAGCGTCTCGCTGCACCATTGCTTGAAACATTTGAAATAAAAATGGGAGAGAGAGAACGTCGGGACCTGCCAGTTTATTTCTAAACGATATATATGCCGCAGCGATATAACAGTGAGTCGGCTACCAAGTACGACGTATCGCCCTTATGGCAAATGGTGATAACGAGCCGCACGTTGTGCGCTCATAATGTCGAGACTCCCCATCGAAAGGGAGAGATAGACAGAGGAGGAAGTCTTTCGAGACGATCTTTCGGGGGAATTCTGCGGGAGGCCATAATATCGCGCGTCTTTAATAAAAAATTGATAAAAATAAAAAAAAATAGAAAGAGAGAGAGAGAGGAAGAAAAAAAAATGCAAAATAAAAATAATTATTTGTGTAAACATATATAGTAAAAAATTTTGTGTTATAAACGGTCCACCCAAATTTTCGTGTTACTCCAACAAGTTGAATATGTTAATTTAACATATCTGTGTACTTTTTAATATATTCCCCGTATTAAAATAACACAAAAATGGACCATTTGCAACATGATATCTTTTATCGCGTAGCATCAGCATGCTTACTTCCAACGTAAACATAATGTAAACTTTCTAAATTTCTTGAAATGAAATTTTCTTCACAAAATAGTGACCACTGAGTCGCTCGAATTCAAGCGACTTTTCATTCGTATAGAATGTATTCTTTACCCTGAATCGTCGCAGTGCATATTTTCGTTCAAAATTGAAACGTGAATCTGATGTACTCCATCGTCACAGGAACATATTGAGTGAAACATTTATCTTGCGATTTTGAGTGGCAGTATTTTCACTGTCGCTTCGAGTAAAAATACTACCACATTTCACTTATTTTGAATGAGACTCCATTTCAAGAGACTTACTCCACTACATTTAGAGAGTTACGTAAGATTCCAAATGACAGCGTGATCCATCATTGCACTAGATGTTAAAGAATTAACTATGATGAGAACGCGATGAGATATATTCTCTCGCTCTTTCTCTCTTCTTCGTATAATATGCAGTTCATTAAGTGATACAACGAAACGCAGATGCGCGCGTTTCCTGTGCGCGCCAAGTACCTTCGCACCTGNCTTTTTTCCTTTTTTTTTTCCCCCCCCCCCCCCCCGTCCTCTACTCGTCCCTAAGACGTTCCATCGCTCTCGTGGAAATGAGTTTCTATGAGGAAGTTTTGAAGTTCGACTTACCGCTGCAGGATATTTCGCATCTCCGCTACCCAACGATCGAAGTTGTTTTTTCTTCGCGAAAACCGGTGGCCGCCTCCGCTGCCGCCGCCGTCGTTCTGTGAGTTTTCATTCCATTGAAATTGCAAAAGCTCGTCCTGAAATTATACGAGCATTATGTATACGATGTTAACGTACAAAAACAACAATCGGGAAATTTTCACACGCAAACGATGAGATTATTAACGCAGAAATAATTACGGTATCTTAACGTGCGAATGGCGCAAATAGTAACGTAAACGTTTGTATTACCATTGGAAAATGGAATATGTTCGCATTAATTGTTCGCTTGGCGGCACAACGCATGCTAATTTCAATAAATTTATATTTTTTATTTAAAAACTCGCAAAACGTGCATGTCTGCTGAAAAATATACCAATGTTACTTGCTTGTTTATTTTTCTGTAAATACGAATACATTTTTCTCTACTAAATTTTTTTCCTCTGCGTAAACTGCCGATATATAATAAAAATTGCATAGTTGATGTATAGAAAAAATTGATGGAAATAGCTGCAGGTATTTTTTTCTTTTTTTTTTTTAAGGAATATAAATATCGAAACCGCTGATCGAGCGGTAATATTGACCTTTCCTGCGTCGGAATGAGGAACGTTTTCAATAAATTCACGTCGCCGGGACGTTTCCGCCTGTTCGCCGACGTCGTTAAATTCAGCTCGAATAAAATCTCGATCGTTTTTATTATTGTATGTTGCCGATATACGATCGACGATTCGATCGATTATAGCGCATCATAGTGGCGCTTATATCATGCATAGGATACGATCAAATAAAATTGGAGGTCACTTGTGCAATGAATAATTATTATTACATTTAACTCTTTATTTAACAATTAATTGTTATATTTAATTTTTATGTCCGTTTCTACCAACGTCGATTAAACTTTAATCCGTGTTTAAACCATCTTCAGACAAAGCAAACTCAGGTTAAGCTTTAATCGAGATATTAATAGAAACAGGTATTAGTATAGTGCGAACCCACATCTTTTAGGCGTTTGACGAAACTGAAAGCCAATACGTAACACCCGTTATACTTCAGCAGCGTTTTTGGGACCTCGTCATTTATTAATATTAGGTTTATTCATGTTGCTTGTATTTTTCGCATTCAACTTCCTCGCTCTTGCTTTTTTTAGCGTTCGAATATATGCGTCCGTCTCGTTCTAAATACGAAAGTGCAAAAAGTGCAAGCAACAAGCCTCGTCGTAACGTACGAAATGCTATATCGTGACGACTAAAGGATCGTCTACATTGGAAGTAAGCAGTATTAAGTAAGGAGTAGAGGATTGATTTGTAATAAGGCAATAAGGAATAGGGAATGGGAATTTCGCTTACTTTCGGTGTTACTCTTTATTCCGCTAAGAAAACTCTCTTACTCCTTACTTCGCAGTGTTACCACCTCCAATGTCGACGATCCTTAACACGTTCATTGTCAAGCTGAAAATTGGAATTTCGTATTTTTTCATTTTTTTATTTAGTTTTTATCGTGCTCAAAATAAGTTAATATATTATTTATGCTTTTATTATTATGTAAATAGGATTTATATACTGTAAATATCTATAACGCGATAACGCGTGATCGGCCATTTGGTGATAACTCGCATCACGCGATATCGCGTGATTGGCAATGAACGTGTTAACGCTAACTCCGTGCCGCATATAGTGATCGTTTTGCTTCCGAGCAAGTTTAAAAACGATCTCACCAAACTCTAATGAATGTTATCAACGATTGGAAATCAAGTGTTACCTATCTTGCGCGTGTTCGTCGAGCATATTTTTTCATTAGACGCCCCTTCGAGTCGGGAAAGCATCATGTGCAAACATGAATTCGTTCACTGGACGATGTGTCGTTGTCGCTGCGTAATTACTGCCGTGTTCTGATCTCGATCCTGGATTCTGCTCTCGCCTATTCCATAATTCCGGATACTCGCTCGCGTAGACACGAATTCAACGAAGAAACACGTACTAATTACGGTCGACGACTGTTGATCGACGCGATGCCGACCGTTGTGCACGAAACGCGTTTCGGAACTTCGAAGCGACCGTTGGAAGTAGCCAGTCAACATAACGTCTAAAGTCAGGACATAAGACGTCTAAAAGACACATTAGAGATGTTTTTGTCAGACATTTTATTTACAAATATTTTTAAAATGCCTTAAAGATGTCTCCCAGACGTCTCACGTCCCAACGTTTTAGACGTTGTATTGTCTAAATAAATACAAGCTGAGTCGCTGGTCGCCATTACAGCGGCTTAAAGTTCGAATCGCTCTCTCTTGTTTCCGCTTTGCCGCGAACGAGTCTCGCGTTCGTCGTCGCGAATATTCCCAGGCTTGTTACCGAACAAAGTGCCGTGCGATCGCTGCGTAATCAGGGCAATCCGGAGTTTGAGGTCACTTTTTACTTCCAGGCGCCGAAGAAACCAGCACCGGTAAATAATAACAATAAAACAGACGCTGCGATAGATAGAGCACGTCCGCGCGACTTGTACGTATCGAGTCCTGTATATTTCGTCCGTGACTTCAGATTAGGTATGATGCGACCGATATTACGGAATATCGAGCAGAAAGCGTATTACCCGGAAATAATGGTCGAAATAAGTTTGAGAGATTCGGCGAGACCAAAGATTTTTTTTCCGAAAATTTAATAATCGACATTCAGCCAACTCTCGTCGACGATGTTGGCCGAAGAAAGGTTAATTTCCTGGTCGGTAAAGCAGGATCTTTTTGGCGGTTTCGCTAATACGTCTGTGACAATTTTGTCTCGACTCTTACCGGCAGCTGGCGCCACACAACAGTCGTGTAGAAATCTGAATATGTGAAGCAGTTTGAGTATAAATGAACTCTGCGTGAAAGTGAGTTATTCTGACTAATTGTGAAGGAAAGAATAAAGTAATTTCTACGAATAGTTGAGTATCTCATTGAGTACCTCATTGAGTAACTCTAAGGTAATTATAATTATCAAGCAGTATGATGTGAACGATGTGCTGTAATAATATCGATTCGTATTTTAAAAGAGGTTATTTCTAACCTGTGCGAGTTTACGAGTTTACGTACTCGTTTCTTTTTAATTGATTAACTTTCAGGTTGAAATATGGCATCTCGAATGAATGTCTTCTTGACTTTTGTACGTCATTATGCGGCGCAGCCGAGAGCTTGGAAGCCAAAGGGTATAAGATATGGCCATATTATATATTATCCAAGGTGCGTAAGGTTATGTTGGAGCGTGTATATGCATTTCAAACCTGTGCGATTAATCAGTTTTACGATAATATCTATTGCTGTGGACATTCATTAAAATATATTTACAGGCATCCGAATCATGTTGATCCGCCTATCATACCAACTAAACTTTTAATGGTTACACGAGTGAAACCTTTTAAGGGTAACCCTTACTGGGAGAAGAATATACTTGAGAAACACTTGGGTATTCCAAGATTGGTAATTCAAATTCTTGGCAATGAATAGAATAATATTTGTTATAATATTTTTTATATATAATATTCTTTATTTGCTTAATTATCATTCTCTCCAACAGGAAAAAGGACCAGTAATCGTTAAGAACACACCAGAAATATGTGCCATGTTATGGTCAGTAAAGCATTTAGTGAAAGTCACTCCCATAAAATTACCCGACAAATTGCCAACTGAGGATGACTTGAATGGTACATATTTACATGAAAATGGTACATTTTATATTGTACCAAAAGTAGATCCTGCACGTTATGAAGCTACGGATGAGTTTGTTAATAGTCCGAAGAAGCTAAATCGCAATCTTATATCTGAAAAATTGAGACTCAAGTGGTTATCATATGGTCTTGTGTACAATTGAATGAAATAAATAATGTAGTTATTAATCAAATTGTCGACTTTGTTGATATTGATATAAACTAAAAAATTTTCAGTTTGAAATAATTCCGTTATAATGATAAAACTGAAACTGTTTTAGCCTTTACAAAAAGCTTTAAAATAGTATCTCTATATAATATCTCTATATAATAAATGTATTAAAAAGTATCATATATGATCGATATATTTTTTATAAGTACATCCCGTAATATGAAAATATGTGATATGAAAGTAACGAATAACTTTGCGCTTTAAGAGGTTACAAAGGAGAAACGATTGAACAAATAATATAGTTTATTTATATTTTGCGTATGCGGTCGATCGACCGGTTTACAACCTACTAACAATAATGTTAAAATTTCTGTGTTTTATCGTATTTATCTCTGTCCCGTGTGTATCCCCGGGTATATAGTAAGATTCTCGAATTGATTTCAACTTGACTTTGTCTCTTGACGAAAATTTAACCTGAGGCTTATGTCGACGAGATACTCAATGTTGAAAATGAATAAGAGTTACAACAAATGTTCCAAAAATCCAATTATGTCTCCAATATGATCGGGAAGTCTATGGCTGGAAGCCCGGTGGATCTGGGACGCGTCGTACGCGAGAGCAAGATCTACACGATGTATCGCAACGAGATACCATTGGCTCAATTGTATGTTTCTTCAATTCACGTTTAATCGAAAAATTCAAATAAATATGAGTCGGATAGAGGAACTCTGAATATTTTCGAGCACATGGGAAGAAATAATTTTACAATGCGATAAATTTCATCTTTTGCAAGTACGATTCGGTTCATTTGTGTATTTTTATAATACTTTGATTAACAGCTGTCACACGTACTAGTAATAACGTAATCTCGAATTTAATTTAATTTAATTTCTAAAATTGTTTTATTTTCTCACGTAATATCGACTATAATAATGATAATGATAATAGAAGCTTGTGTAAGTATGTATATATGAAATTAAATTTGATTAAATTCACGACTGCATTAGTATTGTACGTTATAATCGCCTCAAAACCGGCTCGTATTTATTTAATCTCTTTGATTCACAATTAATCCAATACCATTTAAGATCGAGCTGTCGAGACCTCGTTGCGGGACATCCCGTATAATAAGTGAAAGATAGTGCCGCTTTGGGTCAGTCGTGCGGACCTACCTAGAGATACAGTGTTCCAAAAAAGAAAAGAAAAACGAAGTTCATAAAGAGTCTAGAATATGTGAACGAGACGCTCCAATTTCGCGCCGATCGATCAGTTTCGTGACAGTCCGAAATTCAGTTCTCAATAATCCGAAAACGATCCGCTAGGCCGTATCCAGAGGACGTCACCTGTCCATCCGAGATTCAACGAGCACTCTAATAGTGCGGTTCTTACATCCTCAAAACTGTACTCGAATTCTAATCCTGCAAACCGTCTCTTGTCACCGTCGACGAAGGGCTGGTGACGTTTACTCTTTTGGCGTTACTAAGAAGTGTACTAAGTTTGGAACTATAGTTAAATCTAACGTCGCTATTCATATTCCACTACCGTTCTATGAAAACAATTTCGGCCTCGTATATGCTCGAGCGGAATTCAAAAAGTCTCGGGTATAACGCTTTCGAACGTTTTTGGAAGTCCTAGTAACGGAGAGACAGTGATCGCCGTCCTCTTTCGATTCCCCCCTTCCTTTGCGCTTGTCTTTCTTTATTGTTAGCGTGTGAATTTGTGAGCGACAGCTTACCCGTGGCTTAAGGTCGTATTAGCACTTCGTGAGTGCACTTTTTTGAGGTGTACATGAGTAATCCTTCACCGTACCTGATAATCTTCAGCACGCACACACATCTGGATGTATCTTTTACAGCTAATCCTGATCCTTTCGATGACTATCACTCGTCACATTCGTCACTGTGTCGCTACACCGGTCCTGCCGAGTTGACGTTATTAATATATTCCGACATATTAATTATTATTAACGCTTCTTTCAAAATTCACAACATTAATGTTGACATATCAATATTTCAATACACAGCTGCTCCAATTCAATACCGAGACATCTTTGAATAGCGAAAAGAGAGAGAGAGAGAGAGAGAAAATACATCTTTTGAAAATTTAAATTTTATTTTTAAGAGAAACGTGACTTTACCAATCATAAATTTGTCTACCGTTAATATTCATCGATTTCATCAATCGTCTCCCGATATTGTGTCGGAGCCAGCACGATATATTAATATCAGATATATCAGATATATTAATAATACGTTAATATCAGATATATCAGATATATTAATAACACTTTAATATCAGATATATCAGATATATTAATAACACTTCTCCAAACTGTACACATGACGTATAACTTAATTTACTTGTGTTCGGAACTTCGTATAAAATTAACCGTTAATTACGTTCCTCTCTCGTAATCCTAACGACGAGCCGTGACGTCGTCGCGATCTCCTCGTCGAGAAACGATACCTCCGATGATGACGTTGGCGCGCGATCGCCTCCGTGCACGCCGTCCACCCACGGATAATCCGTCGCTCCGCGAGCGTTCCGCGCCGAAAGCCCCGCGAATCTACGCGGAACTGGTTCGTCTTCGACTGCGCAGCTTCCAGAAGCGCCGGTCCCTCGATGTATGATGAATGGAAATCGTGTTTTGCGCCCTGGTGCCCTTCTCCGGCATGTACATTCGCAAGAGTCGCGCCGCCCTCTCCTCCTGCGATCTGTCCGCCGCTTTGCCGCTCAGGAAGCTCAACAGCTTCATACTCCGTCTCTTGATTCTCAGCCTGTTGAGGAAGTTCGTCTCGCTGGTGGTGGCGGCGGCGCCGGATGAACTCCCGCCGTTCTGCTCGTCGATCTCCTCCTCCAGCCTTCTCGATCTTCGCTGCAGAAATTGCTCGATTTGCTTTCTGCCTCGGTGTCTCCTCTTGTCGGCCGCTTCGACGGTGCCCTCCCGCTGCAGCAGCACCTCTCGCCGCCTCTCGGCGTTCATCTTCTCGGCGTTGCGGGAGCTGGTCTCCTCGGCTCGCCTCGCCACCGACTCCAGCTCGCGGAGGCGTTCGGCTTCCTTGTCGGAGGTCCGCGAGTCCAAGGAGGAGGCAGCCGCTGCCGCGGCGCACGCCGCGTCGTCCACGTCCGACAGCTTGCGGTGCAGGTCGACGATCTTCCGGCGGAATTCCTCGTCCTCCTGGCTGAGCTTGGCGAAGATGCGATCGCGCTCCTCCGCGCTGCCGCCGAGGACGCCCTTGGCCGAGGAGGTCGTCGTTTGAAACCGCTGTCACCACCATCCGACCTGGTGCTTGCCTCCGCTACCCGGCGAGTCCTCCTCCTCGGGCAGCGGCTCCAGCCGCCGCCTGCCCAGGTAACAGCGCAGCGAGCTCAGACTACCGCCACCCAGCAGCTGGTCCATGCTCAGCTCCGGCAGCGGACAGTCCTCGTTCTCGGACTCCTGGTCGCCGTCGTCCTCCGCCGACAAGTTCAAACCGTAATTGTCCTCGCCGCCCCCCGCGCCGCTGCTGCTGCCGGTGCCGTTCGGCGGCGGCTAGGGAAGTCAGGCACAGCTCGGGCTAGTGATTCTTTGGCAAAAACAGAGGGCAAGCGTTGTCATGCAGAGGCGTGCGAAGCTTATGGGCTATCTTGTCGGGCCGCGTCTCGTGTCGGGTATCGAGACCACCGCGGAGACCTCGTGGTAGAAGCGAAGAAACTGTACTTCTTATGATCGATTCTAATTGATCATTTTGCCATGCCAATTAATTCATCATTGTGCATATTAATCAATTGGAATTTATATCCCCAGCTGAGTGAAAATTTATGATTGTCAATTATTGTATCGACAAATCCTTATGCTAATGCACCCGTACCCCATAATTAGCGCCAAGTGCGTCTAATTGTTAGGAATAATTTTCTAAGTTTGCGATTTCGATGTTATCACGGATAATAATATATTGACCGTACCATTTAGCGATAGGGGAGCATGTACGAGCTACAGTCTTCCAGATGATAAATAAGGTCGCAAAGACCTCGTAGAATTCTGAAGCGGACTTTTTGCAAATCATAATATAAAGAACACGATCGTGATTTTCACATTCACGCGGAGTGCGAGTTAAGCGAATCAGTCAATGGCTAAAAGTCGTTCACGCAAGCAAGCTTATCATAAAAATGTAGTGACGCGTATCGAGCGGTCATCCTTTGCGTTTACGACGACGCTTACTCTCGGTACAATAGAAACTATAATTTTTAGCACAAGTGGCTTTCACCAAAAGTCTACACGGCGCTCAACTCAGAGAGGAACTCAGGAAAATTCTTTCCATTCAACTTTCTATCAAAAGATCTGCCGAAAGTAGATGTTATAATCATCGAATGAAAAGAAACACAGAGAGAATTCAACTGCGCGAATCGTGAACGCTCGATACGCGGTGAAATCCGTCGCAGTGACGATTCATTGTGCAAACCTCCAAGCTATCATTTTAAGATGCGAATCGATGTCAACGGTCGCAAACGTTATTACCGAATTGGCGGTGAAGCTCTCGTCATCCGGCCCGCCAGAGGTTGGCGTGCCCCATATGTCGTCGCCCGAAGTCGCTCCGGACGTGGTACCCTCTTCATCGTTCGGGTCCAAGGAAAACTCGGTCCTTTCTGGCGGTACCGGTGGATGAAGCAGGTAACCGCCGACATTCTCGCCGAGTTGCTCCAAAAGAACCATCTTGCTGACGACGTAGTTACTCGCTCGAGCGGTCCACGCTCTCAAGCCAGACGGCGGCGATTCCAAGTCCCTGTTATCGTCGTCCCCTTGTTCGTCCAGCTCGTCATCTTGATCCAAACTACTCATTGTGCCAAATCGCCTCAAGGCTCTGCGCGAGAACAGGTCGTTACGTAGGAGCGTTGATTAGAACAGTTCCGATAGCTTAACGTTACCTGTAAGGAGGTTCTCCGTCACAATCGAGGTCGTCTTCGCTACCGTCCTCGGTATTACCATCCGCTGGCGTGTAACTGGGACTGTTACGTCCCGGACTGTCGTGCAGGCCGTTTCGC